GGTTTTCTGCTTTGCAGCACTCTTTTGAACTTGTCAGCTTCATTTAATGTCAGCATCATATAGGCAACACCATATACTTTTAGAACCCAAATGCATATTTACTATTTTTTTTAGGGATTTTTTGCTAGGTGGAAGTTGCTTTTATTTTATTTTTATTTTTACTAGCTTTCTGTAATAGAGAAGCTAAAATGAGCAGCTAATTCTATTGAAAATTTGCGAGATCTATTAAAAAAGCGAGAGTTAAAAATCCAAAGAGAGGTAGTCAAAACGTGACAAAAATCCATGAGAAGCATACTATGCACTTTGGAGAGCTGAGGAGGGGGGAAGCAGGTACTGAGCAGGATGAGGACAGCCCTGGGTGATACAGGACTAGGCTGGGTGTACATCCAGGGTCCAGGACGCCCCAAGAATTTCCACCTTCAGCTGCATCTCAGGGCTGATTTCCTCCTGTGAGCTGGGAATTCAGGTCAGCCACCAGCACCTGTGCCAGCATAACCTCACTCCCAAACACAGGAGATTAAATTGGTGGAGGAGCCACGCTGACCACTTGTAAGACCACGAGTTGCAGTTTGACCAGCTATATTAAACAATTTTAAAGCATAAACCAAGAAGAGTTCTGTGACAGAGATCAGTAGTATTCACAGCAATAAAGGAGGCTGCACTTGGAAGCAAAATGTGAAGATACACAGGAGTCAAAATGACCTGCTCACCTCAGTCACTTTTCTACCACTGTTGTAACAAGGAAGATGGGTGACAATATATGTTCCTACCTTACTGTTCAACTTTTTCAGGTCATTAAGCAATGCAAATAGAAAAAAGATGAATATAAACCAGTCAATGACTCAACAGTATCAATCTTTGTCAATCATCTTCATCCTTACATATTCTATAACTACAACAGATGAAAGCTATTTTTCCTTTCTAAAAGATGAAATATGCTTGATACTTTGTTAAACATGAAAATTTAAATCACCTAAATTCTTACAATGCAGCTGCTAGATAGATGCTGAACATCTCTGCCTTGAGAAATAAAACATTCCTACCTTGAAAATTTCATTGGGGTCTACTATTCATGATCTGTAAGCTACCAAAGCATGTACTATGGATAAAGGGCCAAAATGCAGTTATTTGCCTCTGCAAACCTAGGACATCACAGAGGTTCCCAAGGATAGAAACTGGTCTGTGTATCGAAGAGCTTTTTCATGTTAAAGGCTGGGAAAATGATATGCTCCAATGTCTATGTTTTTTAACACAGGCAAGCATTTTTGAAAATTGCTTTGTATTTTATCAAAAGCTGGACAATCTTCAGCCCTCAGCTTCATCCAAGGTAGAAGTAATTACTTCATGCTGCAAGGAGAGCTGGGCAGGACACTTGATGGAACAAACTGGATTTCCAAGCAAACAAGGAAGTTCTGATAGAATTTTTTTTTTAATTACCAATAAACACAGTCCTAGAAGAGGTTAAATTTGCACCCTGTGTCAGCTCCATGCAGGCACATATGCACCCTGTAAGATCTCAGAAGATACTTGGCCATCTGACTGGCTGGGATTGGCTCTTTCACTCAGCGAGGAGCTGCTTTCAGCTAAACACTGCAGCAAGTGCAAGTGCTTGTAGCAAATTAGGGCAGGTTAAGGTTATGTGCTTTAAGAGAGCAAAGTTAAACTTGGCACTGAAGTTCATTTTTGCATTGTTTAATCTGTAGAGTATATAATCATTTGAAGAAGAAAAAGTTCTACTAAAAGAAACACCTGGTAGAACATCAATGTTTTGGTATTTCTTTACTTTCACAGAAAGAGAGGACCTGTTTTGTTGTGGTTTTTCAGTTACATGTAATGGAAACAAATTCTAAATGGTGAAAATGGGATTCCACCAGCTGAATTGCAACTTCATATTTTTGCATGCTAGCGGCTCAGTCTAGCAAACAAAAAAAACTATGTTTAAGTTGCCTCTACCTAAAACAGGTTTTATTAAATATCCATGTACTAAGTAGTTTGTATGCTAAGACCTAAGAGACAGTCATGATACTTGCTTCTCATATTAGAGAATTACAGAGCTTAGCCTTTTTGTTTCAAAGAATAGAATCAAATAATAAAAGTCTGCTTAAAAAAATAAATGTTTTATACACCTCTATGGAAGGCTGATTGTTTATGTTGAGAACTGTTATAGCTGTAAATGAGAGGTTTTTTCAGTTATTCTAGACTTCCTGTACCAGAATATGTATTTAGATCAGAGCCATTCAAAAAAAGGCTCTGATCTAAATATGTAGTCTAAAAACTACAACTGGTCTCCACCTAAAAAATCGTAAAGCTAAAAGTGAATTTTAGTTCCTGACTTTTTGCACTGATATTAATGTTTTTAATGGAATCAATGTGTTCTGCCTTGTTAGCTGCACCCAGAATGCATTTTTTTCCAGGTGTTTCACTTACATTTCAGTCTCAGACTGACCCTTACTATGTAAAGCAATGGTGTATTAACATTATTCCTACCAGGGAAGTCTCCCAAAGGAGTTCCATAAAGGGCTTACATCAGCCAAAGCACATGTCAGCACTCCAAAAAAATATCGAAACTGCCATCTAGTGTTATGTTCAAGGTTGGCAAAGAGGCAGCACGGCACAGGTAAGGCAGAGAGGTAAGAAGGGATAACCACAGTGATTATACAAGGCTGAACTTAGCTGATGTTCAAGACTATTGAAATCAGCTGATTTACAGTAACTTGAACTATTTGTACAAATAAGTGAAATAAATTCAAACAATACAATTATATGTGAACAAAGCTGTTACAGAGAACCCCAAATATAAATTAGAAATTAAACTCTATTTAAATGGAGTTCAAATGTAACTTCATTCAATTATATTATTCTTATTAATTGATAAAGTGAAGCAATATCTGCTCTTTGTTTCCTAGAAAGTCATATCCATACTAGTATACTAACTCCTTCCTAACAAGTCTGACCATGTGTTTTCTTAGGAGGGATTGCTTATTGTGTCAGAGTTGTAGAGCATAAAGACATTAATAGTATAGCCAAGGAGACAGAACAAAAGCAGAAGCCAAAACTAATAAAGTTTATGTGTAGGAAGTTTATTTGCAGAAAAGTTAGGTACTTTTAAAAAGTTGTTTGGAAGTTCACTGTTGAAATACTGAAAGCATTGTTTCGCTTCTAATAAAAATAAGTATCTCCCATTTTTTCAAGGGAAAGCAAGATAATACTGTAAAATATCACACATCACAAGTATATGCTTACTGTGACAACCTCATTATGAATGTTTTTTCTATAAAGATACAATTTATAACCTCAGTGAAAAGCAGAAATGGCCACTTCCCATCACATCCAGGAGGGTTAAATAGGGCTGACTTCCTCACAACTTTCCAACAGCCCATCTGGTGTACGCTAAAGTGATACCAGGAATGCATGAGAAATACAAAATATTCTTACTGCAACTGAAGTAACAAGATCTGGAAAGCAGAGCTGGTGAGCAGGAAGGTAAGAAACCACGAGTGGGACACCTACAGTTTATCAGGGATGGAAGATGATTCACACAGTGTGGCTGTGCTATTGCATGCTGGGGGATTTTCAGACAAGGCAACATCTGCATGTGCCATGGCAAGATTGACAGCACCATGGTGCTGCCAGATTGGACTCTTCTTGTGTGCTTACCATATGAAAACCATTAGCCAGGTAAAAGTACACAAGAGGAGCATCAGTAGGCTTTATGCACAGAAATGCACACACAGAACTGAAGTTTGGGGTCGGAGAGCTGAACAGACAGTATTGGGACTCGCCATGTGGCAAACCACTGTTATGCCTTCTCCTCACTATATTACTGCTTTTGTGCTTACCAATATTAAGTGAGTGTGATAACACAGGATGGGACTAGAAATAGCTTCTGATACGCTCAGTCACGGCACTCTGGCATACAAACAACTGCCTCTGGAAGGAGCAGCCTACGAGATTCCCTCTTGCAATACATTGGATTAAGCAGGTACACATCTCCACCATTAAAACAGGACTTTCTCCAAGATGCTGTTTATAGCTATTTTTACTTTCTACACAGAGACAGTGAAGACACAGTGACAGTAGCATCCACACGCAATCTGATGGCCATCTTCACAGAAGAGAGCAAAAAAAAGATGTTGAGGTGGACAGACTACAGCAGGAAAGAATTTCTGCTCATTTCCCCCCGAATAAACCAACTGTCCTTAGTCATGTGGCTGTGGGGAAGATGGAATCAACTCTGCCATGAGGCAGCTGACTTTCAAACAGATACTTAAAAACACAATATCCATTGCTACTTGGTTAGAAGATCAGTAGGGATGGGATAACTTACTAGCAGCACCAGTCAGACTTCTCAATATGGCTTAATCACCCCATCAAACTGATGCTTCTGACCTTAATGGCAGCAAAAAAAGAGCAAAGAACTGTAATGCCACAATTGCTGAAATCGTCCTGTCTTGGAGAATTTCATCCTTAGCTATTAGGAGAGACGTAATAAGCCTATTCTTCTGGTTCAAATTATTTCTTATTGAGTAAGCAAAATGCGGATTTTTTTTTTTTGTAATGGATAATCAAAGCACAATCAGGAAAAAAAGTTTGTCCCCAGAATAGACAAGCACATTTTTGCAGTTGCAATTATATTTTATTCTCATTAAACTTTTTTTTTGTGGATTTTTGCTTGTTTTTTTTTTAAAATCAAAACACAGTCAAAGTTGAATTGCTATGAAAAAATTATGAAAAAAGTTCAGGTAGATATTAATTTACAGTTGATTTATAAAGTTAGCACTTCACTTGAGAAAAGCATAATTTTCTTATTTCTGAAATTAATATTAACTTTCTTAAACAGTTGCTTACATATGAAAAAAAGTGACTCCCAACAGTAATCTATTATGTAAAGAAAGAGGTTAAGACAATTCAGAAACAAATGGAGTAAAATTCCCCAAAAGTGAAAATATGTCCTATGCAATTCAAGTGTTCTGTTTTCTCATTTCTGTCATTTTTTCTTATTTAAAATTGTTACTTACAAATCATTATAGTTTTCTATGTCCAGATCACACATAGTATAACTTATGACAGTATAACTGTTATAAGTTCACCCAAACATATACCTTAATACCTGAATATCCAGTGACCATCACAAAGTGGGCCCTGTCCTGCAATCCAGATCAGCTGATTTTAGCAGGACTCCCACAGGTTTCAGGGTTTGCCAGCAGAGAACTCACTGTAAGCTCATATTTTAGAGAATCCAAGGCCCCAATCCGCAAGAGGGCACCTTTCCTTGGTAAATTTACTACTTTCAACTGCATGTAACTGCTGTTAGTCAACTGTAGGAATGGGATGTAAGAGAGAAGTATTAATCAAATCCAAAACTGCTGCTGTAGGATATCCAGTCTCTATTTATAGTCAGGCTGAAGCATCTTGGAGGGGTCCCTGAATGGCAATAGCTTCAATCTCAACTCGGGCACCCTGTGACAAAACAATGAAGGAACATATTAGGAATTTAATGTACCTATTTTATGAAGAAAGTGGATGTACAACACAACCTTGAAAGAACAGTGATATTTGAGAGAGATTACACTTCTGACAGATTTAGCAAGGTTAAGTAATATTGACAATTCACTTTACACTTACTCAAGTATCATAAGCCCTTACTTCTAGTGTTGTAGCTATCTTCCACAATAAAGAAATTTATATCTCATATTCAGATCTCTGATAATGTGTGGGAATAAGACTGGTATACTTAGAAAAAAGCTTATTAGGAGTCTCCATTAAAATAATTGCGATTGAAACTATTTTAGAATAAGAAAAGCTGTCAGAATGCTTCAGAAGTAAGGTATTTCAGAAGGGGGGTTTTTTGTAGGCAGAAAAGTGACACTTACTTTGGGCAAAGCAGCAACTTGATAGGCTGCCCTGGCTGGAAAGTTTGCCTTGAAAACTGCAATTTAAACAGAAATATCCACTAATCACTGAACTCTGCTTGATAAAACACAGTTCAAAGTAATCTGTATAAAATGCAGTCAATTTGAACAGTTCAAGGCTACAGGTCTCCTGTGCCAGCTATGATTTTTCCCTTTTTGGTTTGTTTTGGTCACTGACTGCTCTCACATCTCAGCAAGCTATCATTCATCACTAGGAAGCCAGACGCAGTTGTGATCTAGTGACCAGTGATACTTGCACTCTGCTGATACTGCAGGGTCTTAACACCAGCTTGGCTGAAAGTGAAAGATTAAATCAGAATGGTGATCTACAATTGCAAACACCAAGGAGTAGGAGATGGCTCTTTCATAGAAAGAGCAAGAGAGAGAAACAGGCCCCTGCCAGAAGAGTCATGAGCAAAGTCAACAGCAGTCCAAACTTACTCATCTCAAAGGAAAGCAGAGAAAAAAATAGGCCCTTGGCCTATTCCTCTGTGTCCGCTTAGACCTGGCGGTCACAGGTGTTAGAACCGGGGGTGAAGCAGAGGGAAGGGTACTGGTAAAGATGTAAGAGCTGAATTTGTAGAATCATAGAATAACTCAGGTTGGAGGGAACATTTAATGCTCACACAGTCATATCTACCTCCCTGCCACGGCCAAGGACATCCTTCATCAGATCAGGTTGCTCAAAGCCCCGTCCAACCTGACTTCAATCGCTTCCAAGGAGTTTGCATAATTAAAGGAAACTTTACTCAAAGCTGTTAATCGCTGAGATAATAACTCACAATGAAAGAACAGCAACTGCTTTCTTGAACTACAGGTAGGAGGCAACACATAACTGTCTAGTTGGCCTGTTTTTACCCTGCTTAAACACACAACCATTCCATTTTGACATGCAGAAGACTGTGTTGATTGCTCATCAATGAAAGACTTCATTCAAGATCAGATGCTGCTACCCAGTTAAAGCCAAAGGAACATAAGGAACTCCTGTGCATATTCTCTCAAATTCTTCTGCACAATATGGGTCATTGGCATCACCTATTTCAGTTTACATTCAGTTTTGTTAACCGAGCATTGTTTGTTTTTTTATCTCAAGGGGAGCAGTGTGGTTCATCTTTGTATAAAAAATGAGCCCTGTCCCATACCAATAACCCACAAATTGTTCAAAGATATAAACAGACTTTAAAGAAATGGAGATCCAAAATCTAAAATTAAGCATTTGAAGGCTGCCTACAGTAGAATTATATTAGGGACAACTGAGCATCTATAGAGATAGAGGCATGAAAGATCAACCTGGAGGGATAGCAGGAGTTGATCTTCACAGGACAGTGAGTGAGTGAGATGGTAGGTCGCAAATTTACAAGAAATTAGGTTGATGCTTGCAAATGAATTTTTTTAAAATTTCTACTGGAATTTCAAACAACATGGAACTGCATCATCTGAGTCATTCAAACACTTTGAATACCATGAATATAATTTGTTACACAAGCCATTCTGGTAAGACAGAAACAAAACATCTACTTACATTGCTTATAAACATCATTAATATCATTGTAGTCCTTCATGTCTGCCATCAGAACTGTAGTCTTCACAACTGGAAATTATATAACTGCAGTTATTTTAGACCTCGGCCTTGCATACAAAAGTTGAAAAACTTTAATGCATTTCTTGCTTTTATTTCATAAAGTTCTCTTGAGTAGTCTAAACATTTTGATAAGTTTTCCAAACAGATATGGACCATTAGAGCTACAACCTAAAGAACCACCAAAAAAAACTGAGTACCTCGTATGTAAGAAAACTTTAAGGACTTGAGGCATTCCTGACCAGCTCTGAAAAAGCCAAAATCTTCCAAGAGGCACAGAACTGACAAGCAAGTCAATTAAAAAAGCTGTTGAAAACTAACTCTTGGCAACAACTTATATCATATATAATATCTGTTGTGAAAAAAAAATCCATAAAAAGGCCTGAAAATACAGTCTATGCTAGAATTTTTTGCCCATGACTGTCTAAGGCAGCATTAATCCTGGTCTGGCTGACTATTAGAGTCCTCCCCAAAAAAGTACTGAAAGTGTCTAGAATATTAACACCATAGACACAAGCCTTCTTTTACCTGGAGCAAAGCCTAGGATGCTTAAAATGCCTGTAGTCAGGTGCAGCTCTGTCTATACCTAAGCTTTCCCAGCTGGAGTTAAAGTATTAGTACCAGTGGCAGAAACTTTCAGTGAAGAGTAGTGTTCCATTGATACCCATTGCAAAGATCACTTTAAAGGTCACTTGATTTTTTTTGTATTTTAATTCAGGTAAAAACAACTACTTGTTTGCCACCATCATAGCACCACTTACCATTGCCATAGTCACAGCCTGCAGCTTTCAGGATTTCTCCCATGTTTTTTAGAGCCTAATGAAAAATGAAACAAAAATCTTTTAACTATCAGCTGGGTTATATCTATGTAAGTATGCAAATACGACTTGTAACTTGGCTGCATCCATGTTATATTGTAAGTTCACCCAGCAAAACCTCAACTGTCAAAACTGACCAAAATAAAAACTAATAAAAGCGAGCCTCTAATAAACCATAAATATTAAATCATCTATTCATTAGATGTAAATTTATGATGCAGCTCCATCTCATCTTATTCCATCTCTTTGCTTTTGGAAAATAAATCTTTCCCCAACTCAAGCCAGGGTTTTTACTGGGGTGTGAACCTTTGTTACAAACATTGATTCTTTCTTACTTTCCTATATAAAAACACTTCCCAAATCTATGTTTTTATGTCATAAAAACATAGATTCCTCCCCTGACCTCCAAGTTGTCCAAGCAGAAAAAAGACAGGGTTAGGATGGAATGACTTTTTCTTGCTTTTTCCTCATCTGGAGGATGCAAAATGCACTTTCTAGTCTTCTCGATTTCTCACAAGTCCACATTTAACTAAACACATGCCAATCCCAGTACAAGTTCATTGCTAGAAGACTTCTTACCTGCTTAGCTTCCTCCTTTGCCCCTCCAGAGACAAGCTGCCCAGTGGAAGGTTCTAAGCCTATCTGTCCCGCAATGTACATTGTCCGGTCCACCAGCACAGCCTGGCTGAAAACACAAGTCACACTGTAGGTTTAATGTTTCCCCATGAAAACATCCAAGTGTCTGAAAGCACGTGTCAGATTTTCCACAGTAGTTTACAATATCTCAGGAGACTGAGGTTATGCACACACAAGATTGTACACACAGTCATACACTCAATAGGTGTATGCTTTTGGAAGTGCCAAGGTTAGGCCATCTATGGAATTGCATAGACCTGTTTTTGAGGAAATAAACCCCATTTCTTGCAAAGGTTCAGAGTATGAATGCAGCAACACAACACTAAACTGACCTATAGATTCCACACTGCAGACAGCACAGATGCAAGGCAGAGTAAATAGACATTTTTTGCACACGTCTAGATAAATATTCCATCCTAGTTTGAGAAGCAGACAATACCTTTTATCCACATCTCAGCTGCAGAGTGATGAGGGGAATGAAGGGAAAAAAAACCACAAAAGAAAGAAAAATCAAAAGAGGGCTCATTAGAAAATTTAAGAGTTTTCTTCTCAAACAGGCACCACAGTAATGAGTTACAGCTGTGAGGTGACACCCTGCCCACTAGTTCTTTGGCAGTATTCTTCCATCTGAATTTGGGCAGTCAGCAAAACACCTTGATCGCTCCATCCCCAGAACAATCACTCTCCTTTCACCAAATAACCTGAGTGACCTGTTGGCTGGGTTAATTCAGAAGAATGTAGAATTAAAGCTAGTTGCAAAACATTTTTATATAAATGTCAGGTGTGTTTTTGCTGAAGCAGAATTAGCAATTATTAATGTCTTTAGTTATCACAAAGAGATTAAAAGATTAAAACAAAGATTTAAACTACCTAGTAAACATTATGCAAGAAACATAATTTAATTCTCTTCAGCTAGTAATTAAAAATATTTTGCAAAGGAACTAGAGAAAGATTTTTTGAAAGTGTTTGTGGCGTGTCAATACCGTTTTTCTTACCTCTTCCATTCCACAAGAAAATGCATTGTTTTAACCATTCAACAAGTCTCCCAAGCTACATAAACTACTCAAGCACCTCCCTTAAGTATCTGAAGGAGTTTAGCTTCCCTTAAATGTCAGTAGCAATAGAAATGGACACTTTCAGAGTACATTTTTATGACATCTCTCAATTGAGATTGACTCAGTTGGATTGTCTCAATCCAACCTCACAGGTGACACACCTGATTTAGGGACTCAGTAAAATGATTAGGGTCAGGCAGTTCAAACAGGGCCATCATTCCCATCTTTCCTTTTATCCCTGTCCTACATTCTCCTGTAATTTCATAAGGGGAAAAAACAGTCAGTAACTTATTGGATGTGGTAAAATATGTTACAACTATTTTTTCTGTCATCAACTAACAAAACTGGAGTAAATCATGGAACAACACCATTTAAAGATGAGAAACTAGTGAATAAAATAGTTTTCCAGCTGACAGTCTTTTTCATAGAAAATATGTGCCTGTACACACACGCTTCTTTAATTTTCTTTCCTACCATGTCCTGCTTTGTTTGAGGCACAGGCCCTCAACGCATAAACTTCTGTTCTGTTTGAAGCACAGAGAACCATGCAACAGGAAGGTATGAGCCCTCTAGAAAAAAAGACATTGTCTTGTACTGCTTATTATAAAATAAATGACATGACAAGACGTTTATCTCAACAGAGGCCTTAGGAAAATCCTAAATCACAAATAACTAGGGAAAAAACAAGCTGAAACCTTCTGATACCACTGCCAGACCAACATCTGCAACAGCCTTATTGGGTCTCCTTCTCTGCTCCTCCTCAGCTTCCTTCTCTTGGTATGCTTACTGATGGACTCCTCCATTCACTGAGACTAGTAACAATTTACCAACCAAGGGGTACAGTTCTACTGCAGTCAAATGCATGAGTGAAGCTCAGAGAAACTTCAACCACACAAACCCCAGTGGCAGTTATTTCTTGTGCAACTTTTCTGCTCACTGGACTTTGACAAGTTTAGCAAAATCTGATAAACTAAGTTAGTGATAAACTTACTGATGTTAGTTAGACCTGTTGTACAATTAACAGGCAGCATAATAAGAAGTATTTCATCAAGCACTGTCAATAAGCACAAAATGTTGGAGTGCAGTTAATCCAAAACAGAAGTGGAGAACTATAACGAAGACCGGGCCAGTGTGGTGTGTGTGTGTGCAGCAGAAGAATCATCACCTTTCCATGTCTTAGATGTTCTCCTAACGCCAAGCAGTGCCGAGCCCCTGGCTGCAGTACAATAACAGTTTATTGTTTACAGAAGTTAACCTTCATGTCATGTCTCTCGGCTTCCAAACTTTGTATTTTTCCATCTTTATAATGTCTATAAGGAACACACAGTTTGAAGCTCAGAAAACTCAGGACACAAAGTAATGGAGACAAAAATGCACCTGGAAGGCAATAAGGTACTATTGGGAATAGAAAGACTGAATGCAGAATTAAAATTTCGTATAAAATGCCCTAGTAAAAACCCCTCTGTACCTTAGCTATAAGAGTATGCTATACTGATTGAACTTTTTTTTCTCATCCCTATAGTAAAGAGAAACCCTTCTGCAAAGAAAAGTGGGATTTTTCTTTTTTTTAAATTGCATGCAGACCTGCTGCAACAACAAACTTGTGAAAACATTGAACAACATCTTACATATTTTTACAGCAGTTAGTTTTTAGACTGAAAAGCATTTACAAACATTCAAAATAAGGAAGGATCCGCAATTCTGAGGCACTGAACTCTCCATCTGCCCAAGCTCACCCTGGATCAGGCTCAGCCTTCCCTCTCCATCGCCTCCATAGTCAGCACTCTCTGTAACTTCCCTGCGCAACATGCTTGTCTCTAGGCAAACACATTTTCCTGGAGAAGAATCATTCTTCCTCTTGCAGTTTATTTTTCATTCACTTCTTGCCACTAATTTCAGAATTATGTTCCCAAACTGACTTCTGGAGGGGTATTTTAAAATGATTAGGGGACATCCCCCTGCATGGCACTGCAGCCCTGCTCCTACTGCAGGACTCCAGGTGTTCCGGGGGTTACCAGGAGGGGACCAGCCCCTGCTCAGGGGTCCTGCCCTCATCTCAGCCCCTGGGCTGCCTGACAGACCCTACCGGGATCTGCCAAAACTCCACCAGCAAAACATGCTTCTGCTTCTCCCAAGAGACCTCTCCCTCACAGAATCACAGAATTATTAGGGTTGGAAGAGACCTCTGGAGATCATCCAGTCCAACCCCTTGCTAAGGCTGGGTCACCTAGAGCAGGATACACAGGAACGTGTCCGAGTGCGTTCTGAATGTCTCTAGAGAGGGAGACTCCATGACCTCCCTGGGCAGCCTGTTCAGTACTCTGCCACCCTCAATGTAAAGAATTTCTTCCTCATGTTGAAGTGAAACTTCTTGTGTTTTAGTTTATGGCCATTGCTCCTCATCCTGTTGCTGGGCATCACCAAAAAGAGTCTGGCACCATCCTCTTGGCACCTACCTTTGAGATACTTATATGTACTGATGAGATCCCCTCTGTCTTCTCTTCTCTAGACTAAACAGGTCCATCTCCTGGAGTCTCTCCTCACAAGAGAGATGCTCCAGACCCTTCATCATCTTTGTGGTCCTCTGCTGGACCCTTTCCAGTAGCTCTTTGTCTTTCTTGAACTGAGGAGCCCAGAACTAGACAAAGTACTCCAGATGTGGCCTCACTAGGGCCAAATAGAGGAGCAGGATCACCTCCCTCAACCTGCTGACCGCACTCTTCCCATGCACCCCAAGATACCATGGACCCTCCTGGCCGCAGGGGCACTGCCAGCTCATGGTCAACCTGTCATCCACCAAGACTCCCAGATCCTTCTCAGCTAAGGCATTACCTGTAGGGACCCAGTGCAGGGGCCTTGGTAGTGCTGATTATTTTCTTCACAAGCGAGGCCATAGCTGGCGCTGGTGCTGCCGTCGGTGCCGGTG